ATAATGATGCCTCGAACATAACCTAAAATTCCTTTCGTAGTATTTAAGGTTTTCAAACTGTTTTTTAATATATATTTATATTTTTAAATAATGGATCAACAGCATTATAATGATATAGTGTCTATTATAAGAAAATATCGCGGTCTAACGCAGGATTGTATGAAACTCTTAATACAGAAATTTCCACAGTAAGCTAGTTAAATAGTCATGAAAAACAACTTGAAATAACTAGTTATTTTTGTAGGGACAGTTATGATACTTTATATAGCATTTTGTCATTGGAATATCAAAAACGGATGAAGTGCAGTCATGTTAAAAATCAAATGAATAAAAACAAATATTGGGATTTGTACAAACGGGGTGTAGAGGATGACAATAACCCTGGAATAATAATTCGAATGGCAGCTCAATTTGACATAGCTCCTTGTCTAGTAGCAAAGTGCATCCTTAATAAATATTTCGAAACATTAGAAACTTCAGGGGATAAAGATCAATCCTCTGTAAATATTAATATTTATTTAAGAGATACTTGTTTAATACAGAATATGGACTTAGCCTATGAAATATTTTTAGTAAGATAATAAAACTTGAGATATTTTAAAATTAACTACATTATATATTTTAGTGCACTCTCTATGATAATATCTACAGTCCACTGACGGAGACTATGAAGGCGTAAGGTCTTACTTATTGAAATTTTAAGTGTGTGCAGCTAATATTTTTTAGATCTTTAGGTCAGCAATATGAAGTAAAATTATACAAGGAGGCAGTGGCTCTTGGGCTGGCATTTAGAGATGAAGAGCATTTAAGAAAAAATGGCTATGACAAAACGCCTGATTGTAAACTAGAAGTGCCTGTAGCGATGGACGGATTTGTGATAAATTGGATAGAAAGCAAGGCACTCTTCGGAGATGAAGATGCTCATAAGGATTATATGAAGAATCAGTATTTAAGTTATTGGAACAGGTTAGTGCAGCACGTTTTATAATATATTCTACAATATGATTTTCTTATCTGAAAAAAAAAACAAAATTCGTATTACTGAAACTAATAAAAAGAGTCGGCATTTTTTTTTCATTAAATGATTTTGTATGTCTGGGTTTTTGGGCTATTACAACTTGGTAAAAAAGGAAAAATTACAAATACTTAATTAACAAAGCATACATATTTTTATTTCAAGTGAATGTTATCTTCTGCAGTTTCAAGATTGTTTAATATTGTAATATAGAACTTATCCAAAAAAAAATTTTGGATGTACAGGGGACTTTTACAAATACAATTTTGTAAAGAAAAAATCAGAAAGGGCAGTTCGAAAATGATTTAAAAATACACTTCTGCACGACGTGTAAACACATTTGCGTCCGTCTTACTCGGTTTTTACGAAATAACACAAATGTTGTCTTGGTTCACCATAAATTAAAACAATATCCATCAACTCTGAGTTGCTATACACTCGAGCCATTTTTGACACTAACTACTAAAAAACTATTGTAAACACCACAGATAACAGGTAAACACTAACGCAACGATTGTAAAATCAGATTTCAGTATTCGGAGTCGCTGAGGCCGTGTGGCTCTCCGCGTGTATTGCGAATGACGCTAGAGACTACTACAGTTGTCCAGCTATGTAATGGTTGAATGTACTACAACTTTAATAATTTTTTTTTCAGAAACTAAGGATTTTAGAAAATTTTTTTTGAGATATTAACTCCATTTCTCATGCTGCATCTATTCCCAAATTTTTTTGAATAAAACAAATGAAAATACTGTTTTTTTTCCAACCAAACAAATTATCTATGAACTTAGCAACATGTAGCGCCAGTTCACGAACGAAAAAACTATTTAATCTCGAGTTGGAAATGCTATTTTTATACTAGATATACAGGGTGTCCGGTAAGTACCTCCTAATCTCTTGGGAGTGTATAGGGGAGGTCAAAATAAAAGTAGTCCTTCCTATAATTTTTTTTCCTAATGTGCCCCCTAACGGAGTTATGGGGGGTCAAAGGGGTACCTAGAAATTAACGTTTAGGGTTATAACTTTGAAACCACCCTGTATATTTTAATAAAATTTTCGTACGTTGTATTACACATGGAGCTCTACGATTTGATGCTAAAATCAACTTTTTGCTATTATCAGGTGTCCAGAAACGGACTGGCCCTATCACAATTTTTCTCAAAATTTTGACAGAAGTAATTTTATCAAACTGAAAATATTATTATTAGATACTCTGAAGGTTTTTCTTTAAAAATGGTACTCTTTATTTATTTCGAAAAAATGAACGGTTTGCGAGATAAATCGGTTTTGAAAAAAATTGGTAACAAATACAACAACAATTAAAATTTATTTTTTTACAATAAAATCATTCCCGCTAGTGCCAGCCTACAGATTCACCATAAACATTTACTGGTGGTGAATTAAGGGAATGAATAATGCCGTTTCTTGTAAAATCAACATCTATGACCAAAATACATCTACAAATTATTATTGCTCTTGTCTCCATGGAGTTCTTTTCTATTGTTTTCGTTGTTAGACCCTGTTGATTTTAAAGTACTTGTCAAAGGCGCGTGACAGAATAAAAATTCAATTTTATTGTGGTATTCGTTTTAAGCCGTTAGAAATAACATTTAAAAATGGAAGAATATTCCTGTGCAGAATATGCTGATATGCACCTAATTTATGGGGAAGCATTATGCAACTCCGTGGAGGCAAGAAGACTTTATGAGGAAAGGTTTCCGGGTCGACATTTGCCGAGTCCAAAAACTTTTGAAAGAGTTGATCGTAGTTTAAGAGAAACAGGTAAAAAAAAATAGTGAAAAACGTTAGTGAAACTAATTTCTTCCGAATCCTTTATTTAGGAAGCTTTTTGCCACGCCGTGGTGGAGCAGGAGCCCCGAGGAGAGTACGAGACCCTCATGTAGAGGAACAAATATTGGAAGACGTTGCTAATAATCCTTCAAATAGCATAAGGAAGCTTGCGGCGCAAAACAATGTTACAAAATGGGCTGTACATGAAACTCTGAAAGAACAATTGCTTTACCCGTACCACATCCAAAAAGTACATGCTATGTCTCCAGATGATTATCCAAAAAGACTTCAATACGCCAATTGGTTTTTACAGCATCATATTCGGAATCATAATTTTGGTACATCTATTTTGTTCACCGATGAAGCAGGTTTTACAAGAGACGGCATAATTAATTCGCATAATCTACATGTCTGGGATGAAGAAAACCCTCACGCTTTAGTTCAAACTCGCTACCAACAAAGGTTTATGGTGAATGTGTGGGCTGGCATTATCGGGAATCATTTGATTGGTCCATTTATTCTGGAGCAAAGACTTAATGGTGCTCTTTATTTGCAATTTTTAGAGGAAAATCTAAATATTTTGTTAGAAGAAGTGCCCCTTCAAATAAGAACTGAAATGTGGTACATGCATGACGGTGCACCACCCCACTTTGATCGTTTAGTACGTCAACATCTGACGAATGTTTTTGGTGATCGATGGATAGGTCGAGGCGGACCTGTATTATGGCCACCTAGGTCGCCCGACCTAAACCCATTAGACTTTTTTCTGTGGGGTCATTTAAAAAATAACGTTTATTCAACACCCGTAAATAGTAGAGAGGAACTTCTGCTGAGGCTAACACAGAACTGTGACCATCTCCGCAATAATCACGGAATATTATTTCAAGTGCACCGGGAAAACATTCGTAGGATTAGAAAGTGCATTGAAGTACGGGGTGCTCATTTTGAACATCTACCGAAGTAACATTTAGGTACCTTTGTTCATTGTTGAATGTTCTTTGTTGCATGTCTTGTAAGTAAGTTATTTTTCAAATGTTATTTTTAATTGGTCACTACTTGCTCATAAAGTATAGCCAACCCGTTCAAAGATTTCTGGACTTGATAAAGTTAAAGAAATTAAATGCATGAAATAATATGTAAAAAAAATAAATTTTAATTGTTGTTTTTGTTACCAATTTTTTTCAAAACCGATTTATCTCGCAAACCGTTCATTTTTTCGAAATAAATAAAGAGTACCATTTTTAAAGAAAAACCTTCAGAGTATCTAATAATAATATTTTCAGTTTGATAAAATTACTTCTGTCAAAATTTTGAGAAAAATTGTGATAGGGCCAGTCCGTTTCTGGACACCTGATAATAGCAAAAAGTTGATTTTAGCATCAAATCGTAGAGCTCCATGTGTAATACAACATACGAAAATTTTATTAAAATATACAGGGTGGTTTCAAAGTTATAACCCTAAACGTTAATTTCTAGGTACCCCTTTGACCCCCCATAACTCCGTTAGGGGGCACATTAGGAAAAAAATTATAGGTAGGACTACTTTTATTTTGACCTCCCCTATACACTCCCGAGAGATTAGGAGGTACTTACCGGACACCCTGTATAATTTTATGTTCAATTTAGTTCAAAATGAACTAGTATATAGCGAATTATTGCTTTTATACATATAAAAGTACATGCATTGTTGTTGTCTTTAGGCTATATTTCACTGAGGCTGGTACAGCCTGGCAGGTGCAGCCAAGTTTGAAACAATAAAGTAACCTTGCACTAGACAAAATAATATCACAACTATTGATTAGTATCTAAGACTGTACAGTCAACATGGGCAGTCTCATGATACTAATAGACAGAAATCTATTGGCGTACAAGTACCCGCACGATTGGACCCGCTTTAAAATGTAAATTAGTACAAACCAGGCTTGTGCCACCTTACCCAGGAGGGAACCAGCGCATATATCAGCCAGTGTGATTTGTTGCACTAAGTTTCAAACTTGGTTGGACCAGCTTTACTGAAATCCGGACAATTGCAATTGCAATTAAGTTAGTTGATAAGAAAGTCCATGTAAATTTAATGTTTGTATTAAGAAAATCATATAAAACATGTTATAAAGAGTTCTAATCTTTCACAACTTTATTATGTGACTACCACAGTACAGTATTTAGAAAATTGACATTTAGACACAATATTATTTAACGATTTTGATACGTTAGATTTCTGTTTTTGTATTAATTATATTTAGACATATCATTTTTAGTTATTATTTTGGATGATTATTTATTACTAGCTATTTACTAGATATTGTTAATGCTAGTCGTCAAGGCATGTAGCCCGTAGAGTAGTTGTTTTCCATAATATCAACAGTTAGGAATATTGTCTGAGAGGTTAAAAATCTTACATGTGTAGATTTTTGGTATAGAACATTGTTTGACTGCATTTGATAATAAAATAAGAAAAGGAAAATGAAATTATTTGAATTAGCTTAATATCTTTATACCTAATATAATAAAAATAACAATATATTTTTTTAAAAAGATATAAAAGATTTATTTTCCTCAAACACAAAAATAGTATTTTTCTACAAGAGATCATATCATATTGACTAGGTCTTACTTTCACATATACACGTAGAAAAATTATATTTACTTAATGTACTTATATTTTAATAATGTATAGAAGTGTTAGAGAAAATAAAATTATATTGTGACTAAATTAAACAGGATGCTGAAGGTGGCACTAATAACATGATTTTTTTTTGTAAATCTTTAAACCATAACAAATTATTACATAAATTTACCACGTTTCTTAGTTTTGTGGATTTATTTGCTCAAGCGTAACAAGAATTTCAGGTCATCTCTTGACAATTAATTTTGTTTTTATGAACTATTAAAATTGTCTTAAAATTGGACTTAAGAATATTATGAAATCATTGTTTGTCATTATTTCTTGTACCTTCATTTTATTTTCTTTTACTTGAAATATATTTAATATATTTTACTGTGACAATATTCAATCATCTTCCATATTTAGGCGTTCTGTGCAGTTTTTATATGGGAAGCAGTTTAATTAATTTTTTGGTGTTATAGAGTAGGCATTACAAAAAACATCATTAAATTAATACCAAGAAATTTACACCAGATTTACTTTTTCCATAGTTATATTTTTAAACTGTGATTCATTGAATTTAAAATTTCCGAGCATGTTTCATATTGTTTATTCTATCATGCGTGACAAGCTTTTCAGGTCACTTGGTGTTAATTTTCTTTGAAATAACGTCAATCTTGAAAAAATAACCATATCTAAACCTAAACTCCTTGGAATTGAGCTATTTCTAGAATTGTTATTGTTTTCATGAACTATTTTTTTTAATGCTATTTTTAGTAGCCGTTCCTTTCATGTGTTTTTATTTGACTCAGTTTTTATTTTCTTCGGCTAATGTAAAAACAATGGTCACATTAACTACACTGTGTTTACTAATCAATCATTCCCTGAGCATTGTTCCTGAACAGCATAATTTTATTAGTAATAGGTGATTATTTAGTAAGAAATGAGTTTTAATAATCCAAATTTAAATTTTACTGTTGAGGTTTTGTATCTAAAAGAACAAGTAAAGTTAATGCGTCAATATTATACTGGAAAAGTTAAGAAATTTTTAGAGAATAAGAACTTGTTGATAACTAATCACTAAGTAAGCCCAATCATATTTGACCTCATCTAATTTTAATAATATAATAATACATTATAAAATTAATGTAAAAAATTAAATAGATGTTGATTTGCACATTTCGATGCGTTACTACAAAAACATGCTATCTCAAATTTAGCTTGGAAAACATGCTATCTAAAATTGTACTTGAAAAACATGCTATCTCAAATTAAGCTAGCATGTTTTCCAAGCTTAATTTGAGGTAGCATGTTTTCCAAGTACAATTTTAGATAGCATGTTTTCCAAGCTAAATTTGAGATAGCATGTTTTCATAGTAACGTGTCGATTTAAGTTAACTTACAGCTATACCTTTTCTGTATATAAATTAAATGTCAGAGAGTGTATTAAGTAAATATATATCTTAAATATCACTCTGATCGGGTATTTTTATGACATTTTATTTTCTAGGTTTGGACCAGGTTTAGTCATTTATTGGTTTGGATACTTGGAAAAAATTGTTGAACCTAGTGATAAGCGATTTATTATCAGAGACCACTTGCCCACAAATATTATACATATTTCATCTTCTACATTTAGTAAGAACCTCAAAAACAGGATATAACATTAATTTTTTCTTGGAAAAGTAAAATACAGTTTGTGCTCTGTAAGAAAATAATGCAAATAATTTGATAGGTTTTAGGGAATTACCCTGCAAGTCAAAGTTTGCATTGTATTATTAATTCAACCAATATCATATGACATTCATCATTCTCCACATTCCAAGAATTTTGTTTTCTTGCAGTAGATATATCCCTGATTTTTTATGTATAATATAATTCTCTACTACCTATAACAAGAAAGAATATTTTAATAAATATTTGAATTTTTGTTTTTAATGGTAAAATATTGTTTTTTTTTTAATTGTTGCAAATTATTACCTATACTTCGCGGTCGAAATTATTGAGATTGACTCAGACGTAACAACAAAACACTATTGCCATAAAGCATATAAAATATAAAATGATTTTTATAACGGTTCAATATTATTTGTCTTGCATTAAATGATGTGCCGCTCTCCATGTACATTGATGGGATCTATAATCGTCTATAGACTGAGTTACACTGAACGTCGATCTACCTTCTATCTCTGTCTACTGCATTTAATACTTTTAGAGAAATGCTTTTTTAGTGGGTGTAAACAGTTGTACAAAGTACTTGATTTAGCCGACGTTAGAAACGCCACAGGATAAGCGTACGCGAGGGGTGCTAATTCCGTGGCTATAATAAATTTATAAATTAAAAAAATACAACCTGGACATTTTAAGACATAGTAATATTTAAAATGGATCAAAGTGCGGGTTGTAGCAAATTGGTTGTTGCTCATAAACGCCCTAAACTATTCGATGCGGAATTAATAATGGTAAAAAACTTATATGAATGAATTCGGGCGTGAAACTCTTAATACAAGTGTAAGTGAAGCTGTTGACATGTGTAGTTTGTTGACAAAAGTATCCGTTGTTACTGTTTACCTTTACCGTGGGATAAAAAACAGTGTAGAAGTAAATCCAAAGAAGAAAAAAGTGGAAACACAAGGGAGGGAGAAAATAGAAGTCAATAATGACGCGAAATACTCCATACGTAGGAAAATTCTTGGATTTTTCTCTAGAAATGAAATACCAACGATAAAGAAAATTCAAACTGCAATAGCGAAGATGAGGATATTCTTAAATTTTCTGATAAGGGTCTTAGAAGAATAATGCATGACATGAATTTTCGATATTTGAAACGGAATCGGAATAGTATGCTTGTAGAAAAAGAGGAGCCAATTAAAAACAGTGATATGTGAAAATTTTGCTATATGTATAGTGATAGTAACGTAAAAGTATGATAGTGAAGTGAATGTGTGGCAGTGAAGTGAAAGTGAGACAGTGCAGGCAAAATGTGACAGTGATAATATTTGTGTGAGATAATTATGATAAAATATGTAAATACTTAAATATTTTAATAGGCAACGTTACAATATCTTGCGGCGGCATAAGCCTAGCGGTTCTATAGAAAACACTTAAAATTTCAAAACAAAATATCGCTAAAATATTTATAAATTTTTCTTGATAAACCTCTAAAAATAACAAATGTTATGTTTTATTTTTTTTACATATTTTCTATATCTTGTCACCTTTTAAACAGATACATCTATGGATTTTTTATCTCTGCACGCTTCATTTTCCTTACTAGTTTATATTGTAGGTACTTAAATAACACAAAAAATTAAAATACTTTTGTATATGGTAGCTATTTTTACTTTGCAGATGGGATTTTTTTTTAACTATATTATATATATACATAAATATGATTACATCAGACTAGTGTTTAACTACATTTACAATAAAATATAACTACAAGTAAACATAAAGGTATGAAAGGTGGCACACTGTTTATACTGAAAACTGTTAACCATTTGTGAAAAAGAAATTAACATCACATTTTAAAAATAGCATTTATATCAGATGGCTAAAAAAAAGTTGTGTCTACCAAACTCGATCTTTTATCATCAGTAAAATGATCTTAATCATTTGAAATCAAAATATATCCATTAAAATGTCATATGTTGGGTTCACAACTTTCTTGAACCACCGGGTATAGCGCAAAATGGGTTCCGATACAAGCTACTGACAATGACAACATTAGCACACGTGGAGTTGATGGAAAATATAATATATTATAGATATCAAACCCAATAGTACAGAATGTGCTTGTGTTAAATCTCGATTTGTATGTGAATGGAAGTAAACCAGTTGTTTCAAATTATTTTTAAATGCATTGGAAAGCATTCAAATGAGAGCATGTGTATACCTACACCAAACTACAATTCAAAATCTTGAAGCACATGTACCTTGGCCTGCTTTGAAATCTGGTCCATATGTGGTCTTACAGTGCAGTACAGTGCGACACAAAAATGGGGTAAAGAATCGACGGGAGTACAGCTCGATGATTGGTTGAATTCTTAATTCTTACTTATCGCGTCACAGTCGAAGTTCTGTGAACTCTGCACTGCACTTGAAAAATTGATGGTGGGGATTTGTAGAACGCCACAGTCGAGTTCTGTGAACTCCACATTAAGGTTTTGTTTGTATCCCAAAGTGCACTAGATGCTGGTTGAGGCTGTAACTACTTATGGCATAGTTTTGCCATGCGTGAAACTATGCCTTTAAAATTAAGGGGATTTTAAGACATCCACGACCAGGAGGTTTCAAGTTCAAAGCCGTCACATCTACAACCGACTCTACACTTATGGAGTAAAGACCTGCAAGGAGTCAAAAATGCGAACGTACCATACTTGAATACGTTGTTTCACTCTAGTTCAATGTTAGTATTTTGAATTCCAACAAAGGATCCGTATATCGTGAAATTGATCGAGGCGCTTGCGTAAATTAAAATTTTCACATTTACGTTATAAGCTCAAGTCTTTATATATAAGGAGAACGTAACGTAGTGTGCCTAATAGGCGACGAGACAGGGTGACAACTCCAGAATGCACAGAATAGATTGGTAAAAACTAACTATTACATGTTTTTATTGGTAAAGTTTCATCATCATAATCAGAATTCAACAAAGCAAATACAATATGTCATCCATTTTATTATGCAAAACAAATAATTATCCAAACAAAATATTAATATTGACAAAATATTTACGGTCAATTTCACATTTAAACTCTATATATTTAAACATGTAAAATATGGTTGATACACTACGTGGAGGTTAGACAAGTCGGCGAAGAAAGAAGCGAGAAGACAAGAAGAACGTCAGAAGAGGTCTCCTGCTAGCGGGGATCAGCCAGGATAAGAGGTGGTCCCACAAAGCGCCTACACCGGCTACATTTGTAGTCGACGACGGGTAGGGTCCTTCTTTCTTTGCCGGCTTGTTTAACCCCCTAGGGTAGTCATCGTCGTGGCAGTGCCACTCGCGCTCTGGGGGTGGGTTTTTGGGAGTAGCAAGTAGCTAAAGATGCATGCGGCCATCGAGTCAAATGACTCGTTGGGCTCGGTGCGTTTTGGTGGGGTGGGTTTTGTCAGTCTTTTCTTTGATGTTTTTGGCTGTTCGTGAAACTTAAAGGGCTTTGCAGGGAAGGGGGACGTTGGGGGGCGTTGGGGTGGTCCCCCTGGTCAAGTTGATAGGTCATTTGTGTTTGTCTCTCGCGTAAACGGTTTGCCTGACGAGAGGATTGTCGTACCTTGCGGCCGCGTCAAAGCGCTTTTCGGCGTTTGTTCGCATTGTCTGGGTGGCATTCCTGTATTGTAAGTCGCGTAGAATATCTGTGTTTCTTACGTATCAGGGCGAGGTGGCAGTCGTGCGTAGGGCTATGTCCTCCACAGCCTGGATTGATTGATTGAGGCGAACGTTAGCTGCGGTTGAAGTACTGACCAATACCAATTGAAATCCGCCACAGGTTCTTTTATCAGCAAGCAATTCGGAATATTGGAATGAAATGTGTTATTCCACTCGTAATGTGAAATTTTAAGCTATTAATCTATGGTGAGCACTGAGCACTGAACTATCCATGACATCGGCGAATACCAAGCATCAAGAGATAGTGCTGTTTCTGTTCGACTAATAGGGAAACGTCATAATTTGTATTATATACTTCTTTCGCTGTGATTTATATTGTGTTGTTATGGCATTTTGTATTTTGACGATCGGCCTCAGGTTTCTGTAGTTCTTTTAGATATTTTCAAATCACAGTTAGGTACCGGAAATTTAAAACCTTTATGAGCCGTATTTGTTTGAAGCTATGTATATATTTTCGGTCTTCAATTTGATTTTTTCAATTTCCTTTAAAGTTTTTCCACCTTCTGGTGGTGCAGCAATACAACTACAGTTGTATTGCTGCACTAAATAACGGGTTATCCATTTTCTCCTTGGGAAAGTAAAGTTTAAAAAAACACATTGACTATTTAAATTTCGATGGAACTTTTATTTCATAATAAAGTTTGGACTATGCCATTATGAGTGAAAAACAATATCATTCAAATGTCCTCCAAGGAACCGTTTGCAGGACTCAATCTTTTGAGGTAATTTTCGAAGACTTTTTCACAATTCGGGCAATAATTCGGCCATAATTTGACGTTTCTCGTCCTTCAATTGCTCCAAAGTTGTGGGTTTGTTCGCATAACACGGTTTTTCGCATAGACTTACAAAAATAAATCCAAAGGCGTTAAATCGTAGGATTTTGGTGGCCAAGCCACATCGCCGAATTTCGAAATTACGCGTACTGGGAATTTCTCGCGCAATAGAGCCATAACTGGCTGCGTTGTGTGGCATGTGGCCCCATTTTGTTGAAACCACATATCGTCCAGATCAAAATCTTCAATTTGAGGCCAAATAAAGTCGATGATCATGGCGGCATACCGCTGAGAATTGACGGTAACGGTGGCTCCTTCGTCGTCCTCGAAGAAGTACAGCTCGACGACGCCGCCAGCCCACAATGCACACCAAACAATCACTTTCTGCGGGTCCAATGGTCTCTCAGCGGTCACTTGTGGCTGCTCACTACCCGAGATTTGGAAATTTGGCTTATTAACATAGCAGCCGAGCGTGAAATGGGCCTCATCACTAAAGATTTTCCTCGAAAAATCAAGATCGGTGGTCTGTTGTTCTAACACCCAATTGGTGTACTCACGGCGTAATCTATGGTCAGCCGGCTTGAGTTCTTACGGGAGTTGAACTTTATTCGGATGAAGATGCAAGTCCAAATGCAAAATGCGCCACAATGTGCCGTATGACAGGCCCAAATGCTGAGCTCGACTTGGAGTCGAAAGATTCGGATCATCGTTAACACTTTCACTCACAGCGGCTATGTTTTCGGTTGAACGGGCAAACGATGATGCACAGGTCTTA